TGAACTGGGTGGTGAGAACATGCACACTTTCCTTTCAAGCTGTGTACATGATTTGTGCAAATTTCTGTATTTTTAAACCACAATAAAAAGAAAATATTAAGGAAATCCATTTTATAAAGGTAACTACACTTCAAAAATACTTTACATGTAGATTTAGAACTTTTCCTTTTTTTCAACGAAAGCAGGGGAAAAATTGTTTTAGTGGTGAGCAAAGGCTTTAAAATACCTGGGGCTATGTGTGGATATCAGGTTTACTCAACACTTTGCAGTCTAAACTAAACCTGGTCAACAATGACAACTGGTATTATGATCTCAGTTCACACCACATAAGGAATGCAAGTCTCTCCCCTCATCTCTCCAGTGTTCCGGCTCACGCCTCTGCCTAGGTAACACTTCTTTCTACCAATTCTCATTCTTTGTCAGTTTTCTTCCTACCCATCCTTTTCCATTTTTGCACCTCGAAGTATAGGGTGAGTCACTAAACACCACGTCACACCCCCTCAAACACTTGCTCACTCACAACGTCTTCCAAATGCCAAACAGATCCTTTTCTCCTGTCTCCCCTCCCTTGACAGAGTCCCTTGCTGTTCTGTTTCCGGTCTATTGCCAGGGGAGGGAGCGGACTGCAAATAGACATGGGTACTTGCTTCATTTTGCCAAAAAAGAAAGAAAGAAAAAGTACTAGCTAGCACTTGTCAAACTAAATTGCAGAGGAACAAGCTGTCAAGGAGCTCACCGCAAATCCCTATGGATTTGAAAATCTCTTTAACCTGACGCTCCCATTCAGTTCCCTAAAAAATAAATAAATTATTAGGATGGGAAGAGCAAGGACAAAGATGTCTGGACCTGAGAGGTCACGGGGTGGTTTCGTGAAAAGCAGTGGGGCACCAAGAAGAAGCTGGAGAGGAGGCACAGCGGCTCAAGGACCCAACCAGGCGGGCCGGACGGAGTTAGAGAAAGGGGAGAGGGGGGCCCCTGCTGGACACAGGCTGAAGGGGGCCCAGGAGGCTGGGGATAAAAGGGCAGAGTGGGCTTGGGGTGAGGAAGCGGCAGACGAACGGCGGCCCCGGACCACCACTGAGGAAACGACTGCGGCAGCGGGAATAGGGACAGCCCAGCCGCGAAGGGGGAGGTTCGGCGGGAGCCTGGGGAGACGAGGCCCGGGTCGCACGCCCACCTGCGAGTAGGAGCATTTCTCGGAGTCGCTGCCGCCCAGGACAGCGCACGCCTCATTCTCCAGCTCCTCGTCCTCCTCAAGGACGTCGACCAACGATACGACCGGCTCCAGCTCCGACTGCCGCCCAGCGGCGCCCTCAGCTCCGGCCATCCTCAACTGTCACCCGAACAGCGGCTCGACCCTGGCGGAGGCGGGAAAAGCGGCCGTGAGGGGCGTAGCCGGAGGAGGCGGGGCCCGACCGCCAGAAACCAATGACAAAGAAAAAAAGCGAAGGAAGGGGGAGGAGCGACTTCCGACAAACGGAAGTCACTCCTCTCCCTTCTCCCGCCTGCGCCAGTCGGCGGCTGATTTCCGCCTCCGGGTGGCGCTTTCCCTTGTCGCGTTCTGGAAGCTTAGCGGTCGCCATGGAGCTGCTGGGAGAGTACGTCGGGCAGGAAGGGAAGCCGCAGAAGTTGCGGGTGTCCTGTGAGGCGCCGGGTGGCGGCGACCCTTTTCAGGGCCTATTGTCTGGCGTGGCCCAGATGAAGGAGCTGGTAACCGAATTATTCGGCCCCCTGGTACAGGGGGAAGTGCAACACCGGGTGGCGGCGGCTCCAGACGAGGCCTTGGACGGTGAGCTCTGAGACTGTGCTGCAACGACAGGAGGGCGGGGCGGGCGCCCAGGGGAAATCGGCTTGGGGAGCCTGTGTAGAGTGACAGACTTAGTCAAAGTGAGCCTCGAGGGAAGAAGAATTGCATCTAAAAATTTTTGGTGGGTCGAGGCAGGTGGCCTACGCCTGTAATCCTAACACTTTGGGAGGCCAAGGCAGGAGGATCACTTGAGGTCAGGAGTTCTAGAACAGCCTGGGCAACATATCGAGACCCCATTTATATTATTATTTTAAGAATAAATTTAAAAAATAAAAATTGTTGGCGTTTTCAACATATTTATTTGGACAGCTTCTACTCAAGCATTTCCACGACTCTTACCACTTTTTGATTTATATCACACACAGAAAAAGGAAAAAGTGCCAAATGCCTACTATTATGTGCTAAACCCTGAGCTGAGCCCTGGAGGAAGAATGAGGTGAATGTGACTGAGTTTCTGCCCTCGTTAAACACAAGGGGATTAGACAGGCAGACACTCTTATTAAGAGTGAAAGTGATTCTATGGCCCTCTGTAACTATTGCAAACCCAGAGACCCCAGGAAGGGTTCAGAGAGGACAAGACTTTTGAGCTGGGTGTTGAAGAAAATAGAAAGTTTTACCAGGTGTGAAACTACAAACATGTTTGGAAGAGTGCAGTCTATCGCAGAGTAGGAACAGGTTCTGAAGATTGAGACAGACTTAATTTTAACACGAATTGACTCCCAGGGACTCTCTTGCTATATTCCAGTTCTGCAGGTGCAGTTTGAAAGTAGAAACATGAAGTTTAACTGCATTAATGTTTTTAAATTGTCTCGAATGCAAAACTAGACAGGTTCATTTTAACTGTCCTGAACTAAAAAACCCAAGAACTAGATATTGGAGTCAGGATTTACAATTCTTTAAGAAAAACTTAAACTGTACTTTCCTTCCATCTTGGGAATTACACCTTGATAATATGGATGTTGGCTATACTCAAAAAGAACAACAACAAGTGTTGGCTGGAATGTGAAGAAATTGGAGACCTTGTACATTGTTGGTGGAAATGTAAAACGGTGTAACCATTGGGAAATAGAATTCGGTAGCTCCTCAAAAAGTTGACCTGAAGTTATCACATGACCCAGCAGTTCCACTGGTAGCCCTCAAGAGAACTGGAAACATGTTCTCACAAAAACTTACACATGAATATTCATAGCATCATTATTTATAGTGGCTAAAATGTGGAAACAACAATTGGCTGGGCTTGGCATTACACCTTTAGGAGGTGGGAGGACCACGTGCACCCAAGAGTTTAAAGCTGCAGTGGGCTGATTGCTCCACCGCACTCCAGCCTGGAGGACAAAGTGAGGCCACATCTCTAAAAATAATGATAATTTTAAAAAATAGGAATAATGCAAATATCTATCAACTGATGAGTGCATTAACAAAATGTGGTATATCCCTACAATGGAATATTACTAGCAATAACATGTAATGATGTATTGATATATGCTACAACATGAATGAACCTTGAAAACATTATGCTAAGTGAAAGCCAGACACAAAAGGGTACATGTTATATGATTTTGTTTATATGAATGTACAGAATGGGCAAATCCATAGAGATCAAGTAGATTAGCAAGCCGGGTGCAGTGGTGGGCACCTGTAGTCCCAACTACTCTAGAGGCTGAGGCAGGAGGATCACTTGAACCTGGGAGTGTGAATCTAGCCTGGGTAGCATAGCAAGACCCTGTCTCTAACAAAAATTAAGGGGAAAAAAGGTAGGTTAGTGGTTGCCAAAGGCTGAGGGGAATGGAAAGTGACTGCTAATGGGCATATCATTTATCTTTGGAATGATGAAAGTGTTCTAGAATTAGATAGTGGTGATGGTTGCACAAGCTAGTGAATATACTAAAAACCACTAAGCTGTACACTTTAAAAGTGGATTTTATGATGAATGAATTGATATCTCCAAAAAGGAAAGTGATAGAAAATAAAGATTTTGAACACTGAAATTCTCAAAATCATTTTAATCTAAAATGTCCATGGTTTTATTAGTCCCTAAAGTGAAATGGTTTTACTCTCAACCACTTAAAAAGCTATATATATTTCTTTCAACCACAGAACATATTGTCATACAACAAATATTTATTTTAAAAGGTGATGATGAAGATGATGCAGAAGATGAAAATAACATTGGTAACATAACTAACTTCGATGGACCATCTGCAAAACGGCCAAAACCACCATCTTAACAATAGCCTTTATGACATTAAAAAGACTGCTATTCTATCCTAATTGTCACACTGGGACATTTAAGGAAGACTTATGCTCTAATTTGGAAAAGTATTTGTGTTCTTCTCCTGGGACAATTTTGTCGAAGAGAAAACTAGTTTTTCTGTTTCTGGCAAAGATAGTAAAGGTTTAGAAATAAAATCCATTTTCTTGAGAAATAATTTCAGACCATGGAAAATAGAACATAATGTATAAAATCCTCTAAGTTGGCAACTGAATTTTTACCATTGTTTTCTATTTTTAAAATAACCATTGAATTGTGTGATGTCTACATCTTTTAACTTCTGCTGTTACAAAGAGTACATGTCACGGTTCATAGGCAGTAACATTTCAGAGAACTGACATGAGCAAGTGGTGAAAATTGGGCATTAAATGTAAAAATAACAGTTCTTCATAAATAGAAGGAAAATGAGGAAATAGAAATACTGAAGAGGAGAGTCCTTGAAAGAGACCCAAGGAAACCCTCAATTCACACCCATGTCTGGTATACAGATATGATGCCACTTAATGAATGTGCATAATCTGATGTATTATGTACCTTAAGAGAGCCAGATGGGGTGGGTTATGTTTTTGTGCTGTGATATGGTATAAGGCCTTAAGCAAATATAAGGCCTTAAGTAACCAATCTGTGTTGACTACAATTTAGATCTTTCCTCTCCTTCTGTAGCCATACTTTGATTTTGCTTTAAAAAGATTATTTAGCCAGGCTAATTTTGATTTTGCTTTAAAAAGGTTATTCAGCTGGGCCTGGTGCCATACACCTATAATCCACCACTTTGGGAGGCCAAGGCAGGTGGATCACCAGAGGTCAGGAGTTCAAGACCAGCCTGACCAACATGGTGAAACCCTGTCTCTCCTAAACAAAAAATTAGCTGGGTGTGGTGGTGCATGTCTGTAATCCCAACTACTTGGGAGGATGAGGCAAGAGAATCACTTGAAAATGGGAGGCGGAGGGGTTTCCTCCCGTCTCGAGATCAAAAAGGTTGACAGGCGGGTCTAGTCTGAAGAATCTGGCGATGAAGAAGGGAAGAAGCACAGCAGCGGCATCGTGGCTGACCTCAGTGAACAGAGCCTGAAGGATGGGGAGGAGGACCCAGAAGAAGAACACGAGCTGCCTATGAACATGGAAACCATCAACTGGACAGAGATGCAGAGGATGTTGATTTGAATCACTATCGCATTGGGAAGATTGAAGGATTTGAGGTACTGAAGAAAGTGAAGGCTCTCTGCCTCCGCCAAAATTTAATTAAAGGCATTGAGAATCTGGAGGAGCTACAGGAGAGCTGGATCTTTACAACAACCAGATCAAGAAGATTGAGAATCTGAAGGCGCTAACAGAGCTGGAGATTCTAGATATTTCTTTTAATCTGCTGAGAAACATCTAAGGGATTGACAAGTTGACACAACTGAAAAAACTCTTCTCGGTCAACAAAATCAGTAAAATTGAAAACTTAAGCAACTTACATCAACTACAGATGCTAGAGCTGGGATCTAACTGCATCCAGGCAATCGAAAATATTGACACATTAACCAATCTGGAGAGTTTGTTTTTGGGGAAAAACAAAATTACTGAACTTCAGAATCTGGATGCGCTCACCAACCTGACAGTCCTCAGTATGCAGAGCAACCAGCTGACCAAGATCAAGGGTCTGCAGAACCTGGTGAACCTGCGGGAGCTGCACCTCAGCCACAATGGCATCGAGTTTATCAAGGGCCTGGAGAACAATAACAAACTCATCATGTTGGACATTGCATCAAATAGAATCAAAAGGATTGAAAACATCAGCCATCTAACAGGGCTGCAAGAATTCTGGATGAACAACAATCTTCTTTAGAGCTGGAGCGACCTCGACGAGCTGAAGGGAGCCTGGGGACGGTGTACCTGGAGCGGAACCCCCTGCAGAAGGACCCCCAGTACCGGAGAAAGGTCATGCTCACCCTCCCCTCCATGCGGCAGATCGACGCCACATTCATCAGGTTCTGAATCCTCCTTGCTCCTCACGGTGTCCCTGTCCTCGAAAGAACTGCCCAGCCACAGTTGTTTAACCCACCTGTTGCTCCTGAGGTCGTCACTGTATCAACAGTCACAAACCCAACGGCAATAAAGGCACTGACGATAGCTGACGCATGGTGCCACACACGTTTTCAGATGCCATTGCAATTAAACCTTGCCACACAGTCCTCCTGGGTGAGTGTTGACAGTTACTGTAGCCACACAGAGAATACTGGACACATCATGTTCATTTACTAGAAATTCCTTTATTTCCTCCTCTCAGAAGGCGGTCACAGGCTCCACCTAATCCATGTGAAACACAGGGCCTGAGAGTGCTTAATGGCATTCACGTGCAGTCCGGGTGGCGCTCGGGGGCTGGCCCGGCTGGCCCCAGTCCTGGTTAGCAGGGTTCAGGCAGGCCTGACCTGCAACAGCTGAGGTTTTTTAGTTTTTTAAATCAGACAAGGCCATTTTTTAAAAATTATGTAAGTTAAAAAAAGCATGGGTAAAAGCTGCCTCAGGCCTGTGTGCTGTGTTCCTTAGAGCTCTCCTTTAACGAGTGCCAGGCAGGCCGACTGCTTTCACGTGTGCCCATCAGTCCTTGCCGCAGCTCAGGTGGGTGTGGGTGAAAGCTCAGGTGTGGGGAGGGTGCCCCATGTCCACACGGTCTGTGCTGCTGCCAGAATGAGAGCCCAGTAAATCTCCAAAGACGGCCTCCAAGGATCTGAACTCTTGGCCACTTGTGTAGTGGCTTCCTGTTCTCACCCCATTGTTGTTTTGACTTTTTTTTTTTTT